TTTTGTCGACTCCAGTTCCAATTTGCCGACCGAAAAAATTCCTAGGGGGGCTATACACCCTCTTACGCCCCCTTCCCTCGGGACGACACTGTCAATTCGTAATTAAGTATTATAATGACTTTATAGAATTTATTTGTAAAAAAAAGCGGAATTTTTTACTAATTGCTTTTATTTTTTTCTATGTTAAAGCATAGCCATAGTATTTAACTAGTCTGGAAACGTGGACCGTCATCTATAGATTTCAAAAAATAACCTGAACTTTGTGGGGTGACCGGATTGAGAGTGCGTCAAATATTTTTTAGATAAATTTTTCTGGCGCAGATTATGATAATTTGAATGAATTAAACTGTTTTTTCAGTTGCTATTTGTTGGAAACTGACCTCATTTTAGTTTAAATGTTAAATTACCTTAATTAGTTTATCGTAATCAAAGTTAAGTACTATGACTATGATTTTAAGTTATTTTTCTGTAAGCAATAAGCTCAAACAACTTTCACGTTAAGATTGTTTAATAGTATGTTTATTATATTTTTGGTTACTGAGGCTCATACTTCTAATATGGATTATTGCTAATGTAATTTGTTGGTTGATTGGTTTCCTTTAATATTATTAAATAATAGTGTTAAATAATAGTTGTCATATTATTGTTCATTTTTCTCAATTTTATTTTTTATTAATTTTATATATATATATATATATATATATATATATATATATATATATATATATATATATATATATATATATATATATATATATATATATATATATATATATATATATATATATATATATATATATATATATATATATATATATATATAACTTGAATGTTTAAATTAAGTGAAAATATGATTTTGTAGTGCGACAATAAAAACACTTCTAGAATGAGAACCACTTTATATAATTTAATCGTTGCTAATGTAGCATATAGCCACACCAAACTCTGGATAAAATTTTAGCTGGTTTGCGGTTTATGACAGTTTTAATATTTTTTATATATTATATATATTTATGGCAGTTTTAATTCAAATTTTGTTAGTTTTTTGCTACTTAGACCTCAAAACGTTACCAATTACTGTGATATTCGGTCACTCTTTTCAAAATAATGGTTACATGAGTCTTCTACTATGTAATAGCAGCAATTTTTTCTATAGTTGTTTTATTGCTACAACTACCATTTTCATTTTATAGACCAAAGTATTAATTTGCTATTCAAAGCGTGGTTTGACTTGGCTTATGCATTGCATGAAAATGCAATTTTGAATAAAAAGTTAATTAACTAAAATAATTGACAAATACTTGAAGGGCCAGTCAGACGAAAATCTTATGAAAAGAAGAATAGTCCTTTGAAGAGCAGTATAAAACTTTTGTAGGAATGTGTCATCAAATAAAATCTCATCTAGATTGTCAATAAGTAAGACAAGTTTGATAATAAATAATTGTTTCTTTCAAAGGAAAGAATTATGTAAATAATTTTTTCCTTATTATTTAAGCAATTATTTCCTTAATTTTAATCGTTTCTCATAATAATATTTGTAGAAAAAAAGAAGGAAAAGAAGTTATATTTCCTCCTTTGTTTAATTTCAATTCAATACAAGTGTGATCTGAAACAAGAGGCACGATGTGTTATTGCATAATCTGCAAAATTGGTTGTTCAAAGCTGCAAGAAAAGTATCTTCTTGAAGAGCAAACTACCATCGAGAAAAAACCAAATGTATGTTGCAGCACATGCCTCTGCCCTTTAGGAAAAGATTTGTCCCACCAATCCTCTTAAAAAAATTTCATGGAAACCTTCAATCAAAAGCAGAAAAAGATGCCAGAGCAGCCAAACAAAATGCATCTCAAGTTACTTTCTGAACAAAGTTTACGTTTTGGTTTTAGACCAAAGTAGTGCCCAGCCACTATCAAGCACTCCAAAATTAACTACTCTAGCTCTTGTAATGTACAATTTAATAAGAGACTATCAAACAACAGATTAAATAAACTGGTCAGAACTGTAAACCAAACATCGAGCAGCAAGACGGTGGAGCCATTTTTTATAATAATTTCTTAAAAGCAGTTCAACACTTGAGTAATTTCTTCACCTGGAATAACTTAAAAATTACCAATGGAGAACGAAATTCTGGTACAACTCTTAGTATTGCTCACATGCAATGATTTATCAAATTTTGTGAATTATGTTAATCTCACAAAATTTCTGGTGGATATTCTGCTATGCTCGAAATTGATAGTGGTAAAGGTTTTCTCAAGCTTTATCTAAACATTATTGATACTGCGTCAAGGATTGATACCAGCTCACCGCCTCAAAAATAATAACCTCTCAATCAAGGGACTGACAAAGACACTGGAGTTAAGAGAAAATTTCTTGTTGCGGTGTCAGAAGATTTGCCAGAAACTCACTCCAACATTAAAAAATTCTGGTCACTGCAAATAGAGTTAAACTAATTTTGATTAGCGATATAAGTATGATGCAAATATAATTTGTAATACTCATTAAAGTATGCACCCTTGCACATGGTGTGTCAAATCCAAGTGCCTTGCCAAATCTGGAAACTTGCGAGCACTGGGCTCATTCAAATTTAGCCTTGAGTCTTTTAAGCAATCTGGCGGGGTTGTAATTTGTTCAAAATTATATGACACTATCATTCGAAATCCAATCATTAATGGGCCTGACAATGTTCTGGTTTTGGAAATAATCCCATTGATGGAATTGCTTCTACTTACACAAGTTGTCAATCATTTTTTCAAGATAACTTCAAGATAATTAAAACTGCTTGAATAAAAACTATTTAGTGGCCAACTGCTCTCCACATTTAACTGAGCCCGTATCATGGGGGCACGTATCATGGGGGCCACGTAACTTGGGCCAGTTTGAGAAAAATGAACGCAGAAAGTTTTTTTAAAATGTGGACGGTCAATGAACATTTTAACCATTTTGATCTTATAAGCATAAGTTTAGCATAAGTATAAGATTTTGATAAAGATTTATTTTGAAAACATTTAGTATATTGAGTTTACTAAAAAATATTTTTGTATGGAAGAGTCAACCTTCATTTGTAATAATCCTAATAGCATGTTTTTATTTGCAGAAAAGTTTATTTATTTTTGCACCAAGCAATATTTGCATAATTTAGACAACAATGTATAAATGAAAAGTATATGTATTTCAAACAAGATTGGTTTAAAAGCTGTTTAGCTTTATACAGTTTACCAATATATCTTGAAGTTTTATTCTCAATTAAATTTATATGTTCTCTCCAAATAATATTTTCATCTAGAAATACGCCCAAGAATTTTAACGATGTTTCCCTTTTTATTAAATTATTATCGATAAAAAGATTCGATAGTTTCAATGAAATAATTTTTTTTAGAAGTATGATGGAAAAATGTGTATTTAGTTTTGATAATGTTTAGGGATAGTTTATTAGATTTAAACCATAGGCTTAGTTTATCAAGTTCTTTGTTTACTGGTAAAAATAAAATATTAATAACTTCATTGGAATAAAACAAGTTAGTATCGGCAAATAAAATCAAGTTTAAGATATTAGAAAACTTATTCAAATCATTAATATAATTATTACTAACGTTATAACTTTTTTATTCGTAGGTTTATTGTTTTGTTTTGTTTTTTATAACTTTTTTGCTAACAAATATAAATAAATTTGCCCTTGAAAACAAAGTACGCAGTTTTGTATAAACTACAATTTTGAAGGCCAGATATTTTTCTAGATATCGCAGTTCACGATCGTGTAACTGTAAGTACACTTGAAACATGAAAAGATGATAGATATTTGTTTGGTAGAAACTTTTTATATTTGACTTTTATAATGCTTGGGAGTGTGTAAAAAAGTCCAAAATGTAAAAAACTCTAATTTTTGTTTTGTTTGAAACTGCTTTTTTGCAAACTTGAAAAAGCTTTTTTGCATTGATCCAAGTACTCTGGTCAATCCAATATTCCAAAATTTATAAAATCAAATTCAAGCTGATGCTTGAGGAAGCTGCATCAGTTAGAAGAAACTAAATACTTGGCTAGCTCAAGAAATCATTTTCTACGAGAGGGCTAACATTATGGAGGGTTGAATTTGTATATTTCTGTTTGCATAAAGAAAATTTTAATAGTGAAGAAATTCGACAGTGAGCGACAATAATGAAAACCGAGATCAAACATAAAAAATATCATTTACAAACTATACTATGGACCACTCTAGAAAACTGACAAAAAAAACCTGATTCAGCTGTATAAAATTGCAAGTGGAATTAAAAAAATCAACTTCGTAGTTTCACAAATATATGCGCAACCGCTCTTGGATAATAATCTGTGTGAGCATAATAAAAGATTAACTCGGCAAATTCTAAAAGCCTGCCAAGAACGGGAAAATTTTTCAAAAATTGAGTTGTTAACAATTGACCCACGCTAACTGCTGATGTTGTCAACGCAAACTCAACAGACATTTTTTAACGCCGACTTGACGCGGTTTCAAAACAAACCAGACGCGTCCAAAATTATATCATCACACTGGTACTTGGTATTGAAATAAACAAAACCAAAACATTTTTTATTTTATTGATGCTGCTGGTTTGCAGGTTGTTCTATATTTTTGCTTGCGAATAAACAATCTTTATTCTCAATAGATACAAAAAGCAGCTTTTGGTATCTATTGAGAATAAAGATTGTTTATTCACAAGCAAAAATTTAGAACAACATATAACCAGCAGCATCAATAAAATAAAAAAGGCTTTGGTTTTGTTTTTTTCAATACCAAGTACCAGTGTGATGATATAACTTTGGACGTGTCTGGTTTGTTTTGAAACTGATAAATTCTGATAAATTTGAATAATTTGCCTGACTATAAATCGAGGCCTTTGTAGTTAACATTTCAATGTGTTGTCAAACAAGGTCTAATTCAAAATTTTAATTTTTAAGCTTAAAAATTCAGCCTCAGTTTATAGTCAGGCAAATTGTTCAAATTTATCAGACTTATGTTGGGTATAAGAATGTTTAAAGAAAGTTTTATTCATAACTGCATACAGTCTACATAAACCAAATAGTGAATTGTTACTATACAATATACTATAATATATTTAACAATAAAATGTGTTTTACCATTATTTTATTTTTATAATTTTATTTACACATTATAAAGATAATTAATTGGTGTGCAAGCCAACCTGCACAAACCTGAAAAATTTGGCTAGTATCATTATGAATGAGTTTTATTCAGTGTTCATTGCCACACTAAAAGACGGAACTAAGATTTAATTATATGAGTCTAAAATTAACAAAGTAAAAAATAATAAAGAGTAAATAACTATGTTATTAATATAAACTGTCTCCTCAATAATTTACTCTAAATAGGTTTGTTCACTTGGCTTGTACACAATCTAATTAACAACTGATGGTCATGAAACCAAATTTAGTAACAAAACTTTAATAAAATAAATGGTCGCAAAACTTTGACAAACACGAATAGAACGCGTGTATCTAACCCATGCAAAGCAGAAGCATGGACTTACTTCAAAATTTAAATAATAGATTAATAAAGCAAAACATAAATTAAGAGTGGAAACCCAAAACAAATAACTTTTTTATAAAATATAAAATGTTTATTTTATTTTCGTAAAAGAATGGCGCTCATTTAAAGTTTACTAAATAGATATTTTATTAAAATTTATTTTATGAAGTATTTTTTAAACCTTATTTTGTAACTTATTATCAACTTTGATATTCTAATCTTTTAAATTCAATATGACAATATGTTTTCAAATATATGTAGAAGTTCTGCTTAGCTTAAGCCAGCTTAGTGTATGTCAGCTGTAAGAGTCCTTACGCGTGCTTAAGTTTTTACCTAACACAAAAAAAATTACTATAATTACTGTTAAAACAACCAAAATTACAATAACTATCATTTTTTTTTTCCAGCCTTCGACATGTTCGATGTCGTTTGTCAAAGTTGATGGTGTGAATTTCTAAACAAAATAAAATCAATTAAAACAAATTATAAATCTCTTTACTTTTTATTTTTATTAAAGATACTTAAGCTTCATTACTTAAGCATATATTTCAGCCTTAATTTTTTCCCTCACTTTTATTTCCTTCCAATATCAAGAGGAATGTGATATGAATAGTGTTCATATGTGTTAAAAATAGTGTCACACAAAAGATCAAACCATAAGCAAATAAAAAAATTAATGAATAAATGAATAAAAACTGTATAAATATTAAAAATACGTAAGAAAATTTTATTAAACGAAGCTACCCAGTATGCGCAAGACATGTTTTAGACGTCTAAAAAACGTATTATTACATTTTAATAGGAGTTCTTAACGTCTTGCGCTTACTGGGAAGCATGAAGAACAAACAGCAACACGTGAAACTCAAAATAATCATTAAACTAAATTAAAAGTAAGTTAAAAAACTAGGTAGGAGAAAATGGGGCTAGACGACGAATGAGGAAAGATGGCTTTTCATATAACAACTCAAAAATGGCTGTAAACAAGGTCGAAACGAAACTGTATTTAAATCTTATATTTTGTACGAAGCTAAACTGAGGGTCAAGAACACTATTAAATTGTTAGAAACATCTAATAGCAACACCAATACCGATATTGGCAATATATGCTCTTTGGTGAATATCTATTTTCAATCGGTTTTTATTTTGGAGCCCGAAGGTTTAATAAAGGTAGCTGCACATTAATAAATGTGCAGATACCTTTGTCAAGCCACTTTTGTTTATCTACAAGTGCTCGTTAGCAACTGTTGTAGTTACCCATTTGCAGAGAAAATCAAATGCAACGCTTATTTTAAGGAAGGGGAGTAAACTAGATGCATTACACTACCGGCCTATCTTGCTCACATCCATTTTATGCAAAATGATGGAAAGTATTTTTCAAACAAGCATATAGGAGTCATCAACAGCTTTACATCTGAATAACAAGCAATCACTAGTGGCGTGCCTAAGGCTCGGTCTTGGGGCCATTGCTCATCGTAATCGTTATTAATGACCTGCAGGATAGCATCATTCGTCATATGAAATTGTATGCCGATGACAGTAAAATTGTTGGCATAATGAAAAATAAGTCGGATAACATCACCCTCCAAGTTAACATTGACAGAGCAGTGGAATGATTACATATTTGGCTCATGCATTTCAACGCTGAGAAATACAAAATATTGGCCGCGCATAATAAGTTATGCAGCGAATACTCAATGGCTAAAGTCGACGGCACGTGTCCTCCACTCAAAAAGACTGCAATTGAGCAAGAACTTGGTGTGACGATCTCCAATGATCTTAACGTTAGACCAATAGTAGAGTCAGCTGCATCAATAGTTATTAAAATGCTAGAGCGAAACCATAAAAATTTCGTAGTCCAAATTTTTATTTATGGTATATACTGTATCTCATTTACATTCGCCCTCACTTTGAGTTTGCTGTGTAAGCCTGGTCACTATATTTAAAGTTCGACATTAACATCCGCGAGCAAGTCCAAGATTGAGCAACAAAATCAACATCATCTTTTAAACATCTGTCCTATGAAAATCGATTCCGACAGCTCGGGCTAACAACATTTGAAGAACCCCGTAAAAAATTTTATCGAGCAATTTAAAATCACTCGTCAACTCAAACTTGTCAGTTTTTTTGTCCCGCAAAAACTTTCAAACAATAAAGCCAAATATATTTTGAGAGGGCATTACTATAAACTAGAACACATGCTATTACAAAGTTGTGAAGAACGACATATTTTTTTTTTAAATAGAGTTATTTTCCCATGAAATGCACTTTCCTGAGTAACAGTGAACGCTCATCAATGTTTTTAAAGAAAGCATAACAAACTGACTTTTAGAGACACAATTGGTGCTTTGTCTGTGTTTTTATTTTCGTCAGCATAGAGGAACCTGGTGTAGCACCTCTTTATCAAACTATAAATAGATTTACTGTATTTGTTATTTTTTGATCACTACAAAAAAAAAAAAAAAAAAATTTAAAAACTATTTGGTTTTTTTAAACACTGCTAACGTCATTTTGTACGCATAAGTTTCTTTTTCCACCCTTAACAAAATGTCTTGGTTTTGATAAATGCTAATTTAACTGAAGTTTAGTTATAGTAGTTAGTAGTTTTTTAAATAATGGAATTTAGTATAAAATTTTAGAGATATTTTGGTGAAAAATAAACCCTAATAAAAAATAAACCTAACTAATATTCAACTAACTAATATTCAACGAAAGAAAAAAAAGATGGTTTAATCAGCTCAAAACGAAAAAAAGAAAAATATTTAATTCAAAAATAAGTGAAATTCAACAAGTAAAGAAAAGTAAATTCGACATTCAAGCCAGAAGTAGAGTCTCAAATTCAAAAAACGTTTACTTTATTATCATCCTTCTTATCGTTGCCAAGAAGTTTAGTTTTGTTTTAAATAGGATTCGGACTATTGTAGTTGTAAAAATTAAATACAATACACATTACAATACAATAATATTGTATTGTACTTAAAATTAGATGTAATTAAAACATTACATACATTCAAGTTGTAAAACCATTGTATTGTATTGCTGTGATGTAAAACAGTTACAATAACTTTTGCATTATATTGCTCGGATGAAAAACAATTACAATAACTATTATGGTGTATTGTATTACTTTTTCAAAATCAAATAGCTTTTGTATTTTAATGTATTTAGATAATTTTTCCACGCATTTACTAGTATTTGGGCACTAGAATATTCGGAGGTGCCCATGACGCTCGTTTTTAGCAGTCATTTATGTTTATAAATTTTATTTGTTTTGAGAAGTAAAGTAAAGAAGTATATATATCACGTATAATTAATAAATATTAAGTTCAGGGGCGCTCGTGGTACCCGTTTCTAACAACCATTTAGATATATAAATTTTATTTATTTTGAGTTCAATAATATAACTATTTAAAGAATAATTTATTTAAAATTAACATAATATTCATTCAAAATCATACAAATAATTTATCATATGTTTGTAATTAAAAAATTATTTACTTTTTGAAGTGCAATTTTTGATTTTTCTATAATTTTGTCTAAACTGATATTGAAATGTTTCACCGGATGAAATGTTTCACCGGATGAAATGTTTCACCGGATGATGACGTCTAAACTAATTGATTAACTATATAAAGCGTGATATTTTTTTTTTTAAATATTATTCCAAAAAATTTTAAATATTATCCGCCAATATGTAATAAATTACAGAGTTATGGAATCAGAGAACCATTATCGATTAGATTGGTAATTATCGATTCGATTGTCTAAAAATGTGAACTACTTTTGATTTGCAAAATTACTTTTATAAAGCTATATCGTTGCAAACTTTATATATATAAAGTTTGCAACGAGGACATTATTCATAAATAAAATAGAAATAGAATCAATAATTAAATATTCATTCTACCCTATTTCAAGGTCAAATATCTCGGAGACTGGATTTTTAAAATTAATATTAAATTTTGACATTACAATAACTTTTTTTTATCACAATAACAATAAATTGTTATTGTATCATAAAGATGAATTACAATACAATATTTATTGTTATTGTAGTGCAGAGGCGGGTTTTGTCACTCACCAAAGAGGGGCTTAAAAAAAGGTCTCTCAAAAAAAAAAAAAAAAAAAAAGAACCGCATGTTTGCATTAAAAAGTAACTTTCTTTTTTAATTTTTGGTACTTTAGCGTAAAAATCAAGTTCATATAGGTACGTATAATTACGTATAATAGTCAATTTCATTCGTTAGTTTAATAGTGCAATTCAGTATAACTGTCATTTTTCAAAAGAATATTTGTGAAAAAAAGTCCAAAGGGTGGGGAGGCTACTACCTACATGGACCCCCTAAAACTAGCTACTGTTGTAGTGGGTCATTAAAATACATTTTTTTTTTTCCAGATATTGTTATTGTATTATGAAGATGAATTACAATATTTATTGTTATTGTATAACAGTATTACAATTGTAAATTACAGGTATTGTTATTGTTTCTAAAAAAAGTTAATACAATAATAATAGTTTGTTTCTGTTATTGTTTACATTACAATTACAACAGTCCGAACTCTAGTTTTAAATTTTTCAAGTAATTCATTTATTTTAATTTGATTGTTTTCTCGCTTTATAAAAGTGTAGTTTGTTGAAAAGTGTAGTTTTGTTGATGCCAAAATGTTGATAACATAAATTTTAATTTTTTTTTTGTCTAATTAAATTATATATATATATAAAGTAATTATAATTTTACATTCAGTATTTTTAGCTAAAGTTGTAAGTATATTAAAAATAAGATTTTGTTATGTTATCGTAATATCTGAACCTTAAAGTAAAGTTTTTCTGAAAGGCAAATGAGTAAACTTGCATAAACTGTAGATTAACACCATACCTATCATAAAATTTGTACAGCGTTGGTATAAAAAAAAAATTTTTTTTAAGAAATCTATTACATAGCTTTTTTCAATAAATATACATTTTTTGAGAAAAAAAAATTGGCGGAAACATTTATATAGGTAATGAAATTAAATTTTTTGATATTTAAATAAATATAGCTTTATCACATGTTCTTTAGTAATTTCACATATAATTATACATAAATAATGTTTGTAAAACAAGATTGATAAGAAGTGTATATAACACTTTAGATTTCAAATCAAGTCTAAATTAACTTTCTAAGGTTACAAAAATAGACAAAAGTACTATTATAAGAAATAAGTTATTTATCATGAGAATCATCATTTATATTTTTGAACTCCTCAATAATGTTTTTAACTTAAGATTGTGTCAATTGGCGACCTCAGGAAGTGTAACTAGTTATCAAAGTAAAAATGTAAGCAAAGTTTATAATAAAACCAAAGTATTTAGGTGTTAATGTAAGATTACTGTAAGAACTTAAGTGTTAATGTAAATTAAAAAACTTTTATAATCTTATATAATAAAAAAGACTCTAAGTAAACGTTTGTTTAAAA